TAAACATTATTTTAAATCAGTTAAGTGATCAACTAAATGAAAAGGGAAATAAAAAGGGTGGTTATCTTGGAGTTTTGAATTCATAAACATTATTTTAAATCAGTTAAGTAATGAACTAAATGAAAAGAGGAATAAAAAGGGTGGTTATCTTGGAGTTTTGAATTCATAAACATTATTTTAAATCAGTTAAGTGATCAACTAAATGAAAAGGGAAATAAAAAGGGTGGTTATCTTGGAGTTTTGAATTCATAAACATTATTTTAAATCAGCTAAGTAATCAACTAAATGAAAAGAGGAATAAAAAGGGTGGTTAACTTGGAGTTTTGTACTTCCTCAAACAGTTAATTGACTTGTTTTTAAACTTGAAAAAAGTGATAAAACGTTAGATAACTAATAATGCTAGAGAATTAGAATTTTTCTCGCAAGTCATCATGACGTTTATAACCATAACAATTATTATATTAAACTTATTTTTTGTTAAAGCCTTCATTCGTTGTACTTCCTTTCCTCATAATTGACCTTTAAAAGTAGTAATTTTCATAATGCAGCAACTATAATATAGCAATTTTCTTAAAACAGACTAAAAAAATGTGAATCTTAATTATCATGTCACTCTGCCTCAAATGCTTTGAGTAAATATGCCATACTTAAAAATAATTAACACCCGCCACACGAGCCAGCTTGGCATCTTGATGTGAATCCAAAAAAATGAGTCATTCCAGAAAGGTTTGGGCTGTTTTGTTAGACAAAAAGGAACCACTTGGCACTATTTTCGAGGTCTAGATCACTGGAAGAGACCCAAGGCCATGAGAACCAACATGGAGAAGTTAAATTGTAAAGTGTGCTTGAAATGTTCTAGATGTGGTTCTGAATATGATGGTGCAAGTGGAGCAATTAAGCTAATCTGTGGGTCTAGGTCCCACGAGGGAAGAACTTATTTGATAATATCCAAATCAAGTTGACATACCAGCTGAATTGGAGATTCATCAATTAATTACTGCATTGACAGCGAAACACATAATAACAGGCACAATAGTATCATTACCTTCGTAAAGGGGATTGGAATCATATATAATAAATCATTAGTTTCAATATTTTGTGAAACTAACAGCATAGTAAAAAAAATTCAGTGTTAATGCTGAATCAGATGCACGATGCATTACAAGATGATTTCTCTAGCGATTCTCAAATTAAAAATGCTATTTTTACAATGAAGAGTAAATATAAGAAGGATGGTATAACTCATTATAGATTTCATCATGTCATATTTTCAATAATATTTCATTATAAAAGTTGTGCCAAGCTTCATTCATCGAGATCTATCAAAATAACCCTAAATTACCAGTTTCCGGAATGGCTGCCCCTGTTGACCATCCTAGGTTTCATACTAAAAGATGCTGGGCTAGCTCGTGTGGCAAGTGTTAAATATGTAATCATAATAATTTTATATAAGAGATCAATATTCTGTGCAATTAAACCATTAAAAAGGTTATCGACACTTTTCCAATGAACAAATACAATCAAAACCAAAAATTAAACAACAATAACCAAAACCTGAACCCTTTGATTCTTTTTAAACACGAGCTATCTATAAAATAATGATGAAATCACTGAAATTTAAACTTTTCTTAACTATCAACTCTTCACAATCAAGTTTGTGTGAATAAGATACATAAATACATAAGAATAATTTACTGATTTAAATATTAGATAACTAAACAAAAAATAAGAATTTTTTTTACTTTGGTATTTTCAGTAATGAATATTACTTTTATTATAACAAACAGTTGAATCAAGAATCCTTAAAACTTTACATTTTTACATAAATGCAAGTTCATAATTGTTCTCATTGGTCAAAAGAAATGAAATACATTTACAAATAAAAACATCAAAAATAAGGCTTTCCACCAAGTATAATTACTGATAAAATAAATTTTATCTGACATAAGTACGATTTAAGTTCTGCGTTATCGTATTCTTCGACAAACTTTATTGCTCCGTTTATCACAAAATACACATCTAAGAAGTCTGCTATTAAACCTAATTCACCTCAAGAAACAAATAAAACCAAATTAATATATAAAATAAAAAACATTTGAAAAAGAATACTGCTTAAATAAACTTGTAATACTAATGGACCTGATCATCATACACATATTATTACATCATACGATCCCCTGAAATAACTTTGAGCACAATTGGATGAAACAAGTCTATATACTGTTTAATGTACTCGTACATTTTTCTCTCAAATATCTATAAACTTTAAGTGAAATAAAGATGGTTTGCACAACCAGCCCTGAAAGCACACAGTAGTCAAGTTGATCCAAAGTTTGTTTTTCTCATCCATACATTCTTTTTTACAAATATTAAAATCATTTATTTCAATCTACCATAAGACCACCTAAAAAAAGCCAGTCAAGAAGAGAAAGACAAGTAAATATATTCTGTTTCGACAGTTCAGTGAGGTTATTTTAATGTACGGTGCAAGTGTATAATCGGAGATGATATTTTTTCTATCGCATAATGGGGATTTAGAGCTCCTAATAAAGATATATCAGTCAACTCACGGGAATAATCTTACTTTTCAATGTATAATATAAACATATTTGTCAAAAATTGTATGAAAATACTTCAATAAAGTAGTTGCATTAGACAGAAAAAGTAGTCCAAAATTCAGCCCAATTATGTTTTGGAATCGCACTTAAGGTATCGCAGTGATGTAGTCAAGTGAGAAATATATTCGACTAAAACAGCTCTTAACCTTTTCCATACCAGGCTCTCTGCTTCTATACACTGCCGCAGACCACTAAAATGTGAGCACAATGAAAAACCATTATGATTTACATAAGAATATTATGTCTGCTTTAATTTATTTTCATGAAATCCCACAGATCAGCAGAGTGGTTGTGATGGACTGGCAGTGGTCTGCAGATCTGTGGTTAAGAAACACTGTACTGAAACTGAAATACCAATTTGTACACGAGGTTCTTATCGAACTGTTGTGCTGTGGTAAAAAAGTAAGATTTGATGAATGGCAGTATTTCAAATAGACAAAAAATGTATCTTTTTAAATTTGGTTCACAAGAAACGTCGGTTTAAACAATGTTAATATTATATATATAAAACACTAATACTACAACATTTAGATAATAACATTAAATGCTACACAGGAGGTGTACCATCAAATTCAATGTAAACTGTTTGTATCTTTGTTTACAACATTTGCACAGAGCTGAGCAAGGACTACTGGTGTTAGCCATCTCTAATTTTGAACCGATAAGATTAGAGGGAAGGTAACTAGTCCACAACACCCACTCCAAACCCTTGGGCTAAGCTACTTAACAGTGAGATTTGACCATCACTCTTACAGTGAACCCATGTCCTCAATGTGTAGAGTGATTTTGTGGTAATGGGTTGTGACTCCCCTCCTCCCAAGGTTCAAAATCCAGCACACTAACTACTAGGTCACACTTATATCATTGAAGTTTCCTCTGTGTAGGATGGATCTAAACTTAACTGTTAAAACCTGATTTTACCTATGTTTATTGATTATTTTATTTTGTTTAAGCACACAACAGTATTGCATACTATTAGATTTTACTTGGAACAAAGAATATGAATTTGAATGCATAGTGACTGGCTATCTACTTTGTGACCTCAACGTAAGCATCTCAGAGTAGTGGTAATGCTTATCAATACTCCACCCAAGTCTAAACTTTATCATACGAAGTAGTTTAGCAGATGCGTATTGAAAGGTAAACAAAATGTCAAAATGCTTACAAAACTTTAAATATCTATAACAAAATTATTATTCGTATTTATTACACAATTGTCCTATTACAATTATTAATATCGTTTGTACGAAACTAACAAGATTTTCAAAATTATTTAAAGCACTTATAAATCCTAATTTATAAGCATTCATGTAAAGAATTAAAAATATTATTCTATAGAAAACTGTAATTTACAAGTGCTGGTGTAAGATGTCTAAAAAGGATTTTCTAAAGAATCATAATTTATGAAAATTTGTATAAAGCTTATAAAAATATTATTCTGTAACAAACTATAAAAAATATGTTGAGGTACACAAATTACATTTTGAGTTTTAAAATATTTAAGACCACTCATTTTTAGATGTTCGTGCAAAAGCTTAAGATTTAAATACAGTGTGAACTGGGAAGTTGACATCAGTGTATAAAGGATTTGTTTGACTGAAATCATTAACTGTAAGCCAGTAAATATATATAAACAGTAATGTTACACCAGAAACTATGCAACAAGTATAAAATTCTTGACTGACTTTTGACCAATGATTAAAAAACCATTCAAACAGAATAAAATTACTTTGAGTTGGAAAATGATAAGATAGATATTTTTTCTAATAATAAATTTAAAGCTGTTTGTGAAGTTTGGTACTTGTAGCATGTTATGCCACATTTCAATGCAAGAAAAGTGAATCATAAAAAAGATAGCGTAAAAAGAATATCAATCAATTTTTAGATTCCAGTTTAGGAAAATGTTCATAATAAAAGATGTTCCACAGGATGGCAAAAACCATAAAACATAAATAAATTATAAACAGTACCCATCCAAGTTTTTTCTCCCAGCTGTGAACTTTCAAATTCTTTAAGGTTATCACTCCCAGCAGGAGACCTCCCAAAGCACCAGCGAAATGTGAAGCGTAACTTGTACGACTATCTCCATTCCCATAATAACGATAGTAGAGGGCAACCCCAACGTCAGTGCCTCCAAAAATGAACAAAGCAGCCAATCGAAACCAAGCAAACTCCATTTCTTTAAAATTCTAGAAAATATTTGGTAAAGAAACTGTTGAGAAAAATAATTCAAAGTAATCAAATCATTAAGAATTCTTTAAAATAAAGCTTACAGCTCTTGGTTTCCTTGAACTTTCCATACAGCATTTTGTTGAATATGGGTCAACATAAGTCCTATCAGATTTTTAAGCAATTTTTTTTTAATCTATTTTTGTACCAAATTGTAATGGGGTCCATAACTTTTGTTGGTTATAAAGTACCGAAATACGACAAGTATAAAATATATATATGTATAGATATTAATCCTTTAATTAGTTCTACTAGTTACTTAGTGCTTGTGTTTCCTAAGCATTAAATACATAGAAAATGTGTGATTTCATTTAATTTTTCGGGAAGTTCTTTAAAATGAGTTGTGTGATAGGCAAAAAATAAACTTACTCAATATTATGCAATATGATGCATCAGTAGTGTGGATTATGTAAACAAATCAGTACTTTGAGTGTTAAAGATGTTTCTTAGACACTAATAAAAACAGGGTAGTGTTCAGCTGGTTCAGTGGTTTCCCAAAACTGAATTAAAAAAAAGATAACATATGACAGCAGTTCTAAACCTGTGGTCCATGGAAAGTTTCATAATTACAGATAGGAAAAGGCAGTGTAGTGAAGCGATTTAATTTTGGTCCACCGAAATAAACACAAAATTCAGGTGGTTCAAAACAAAATTGTTTGGGAATCATTGATGTAGGATATACTTTAAACCATGACACTTAGGAAGAAACAACATTTTTAAATACTCAGGATACAAAGGTGTGCATTACCATAAAATTCAGAGCACAAGCCTCTGAATTTTAAAAAAATAATTTTATCTCGGGAGACATTTTACCCCATATAATTATATCAGTGCCTTCCTCTGACATAAAGTACAAAAATGTGTGTGTCTGTCTGTCTGTTATCTAATTACTTCTAGGTCACTGGGCCAATCTCAGTGTAGAGTGAAATGATATTCTAAAAATTATGAAATAAAATGAAATGGCTTGTATGACAGACAGTTATTCATTCCTAAAAACCGATGTGTTACAGTGGGAAGACATTAGCAGATTTTGATACAATCAACAGCTGTGCACACGAAGTTCTACACTCGTTACCTACAAATTATGTGCACTTGTTCTACACTTGCATGTAGTTCTACACTTAGCACCTATGAACTGTGTGTGCACATAGTTCTACACTCAGCACCTATGAACTATGTGTGGATGTAGTTCTATACTCAGCACCTATGAACTGTGTGTGCACGTAGCTCTACACTCGGCACCTATGAACTATGTGTGCATGTAGTTCTACACTCGGCACCTACGAACTATGTGTGCACATAGTTCTACACTCGGCAGCTATGAACTATGTGTGTGCACGTAGTTCTACAATCAGCACCTATGAACTATGTGTGCACGTAGTTCTACACTCGGCAGCTATGAACTATGTGTGTGCACATAGTTCTACAATCGGCACCTATGAACTATGTGTGCACGTATCTCTACACTCTGCATGAACTATGTGTGCACGTATCTCTACACTCTGCACCTATGAACTTGTGTGCACGTAGCTCTACACTCGGCACCTATGAACTATGTGTGCACGTAGTTCTACACTCGGCACCTATGAAATATGTGTGCACGTAGTTCTACACTCGGCACCTATGAAATATGTGTGCACGTAGTTCTACACTCGGCACCTATAAACTATGCCTTGTTAAATTTTTCTCTAACTTCTTTAATGAAAATAAATAAATAAATAAAATAAAAACAAACTGTGAACTATATTAATACACAATTTACTAAAGTAGAATGTAAAAAACAACTATAATTTAACTAAGATATACATAGGATAAAAGATCATTAAATCTTTGCTTACCAACAGGTCATACAATCAAAACCTCTTGTCTAACGTTTATTGTTACCAATTTCAAAACAGCCATGGCATACTTGAAATTGAAAATAAGATCTTTCTATTGTTCTAAATGTGTACGGCAAATAAAATGATGTGGTTTTAAAAACTGCCTTGAAAGTTAAGGATAGACGGATGGGGCTTCTGTCGTGGGCTTGGAAAATGTAATGATATATACATTACTAAATGAAGTTAAGATGTTAAAACGGTACATTGGACCTTGGAATCATTTATAGATTGTGTCTACATAACACATACAAATGCATTACTGTAAAAGTGAAGATTGAGCATTTTTTTAAATGTTTTTTGAAATTAATACTTGTATTAAAATTTGAATTACACATTATACTGAGGCTAATTTTATTGATATATACACTGATGATAAAGTTATTTAATTAAATTTTGAATAAACTGTGAAATTAAAATGCCATGACATGCACAGGCCCATGTTTAAAGGGTTAATATCATATTTGTCACCATCATTGTGGTTTTAATAATTTTAATGTAATTAGGTTTAAGAGGTTTTACGTTACGATCAAAGACTGAGGGCATGTAGATGTCATTACTAACAACTCACTTTTTTATACCTATTTCAAATTGTATTTGTATAAAACATTCAGAAATATATAATGTTTATTCAGCATGCAAAATTGGTGCTGTCAGTCGATAATATTCACACAAGTGCGCGTAAAATCAAAAATACTCATTACACATAACTATTAGTAATTGTTTGCTTGCAAGATTGTACGGACAGAAACCATCTGTGGCAGGAATTTGGATAACGATTCTGTCTCCTTAATTGGGACATTTTTTTTTTCCAGTTGCTTGTGTAGAAAAACAACTCCAACAGTATATTACTAGTCAAAGTATATATATAATATGAAAATTTTATTTCTTCATCTATCTAAATTCTGTTTATGTTATATAGAAAAGTTATGTACAGTTTAAAGGCTGTACTATGATAGCTTATACTTTTTTTGTTTACAGGGTTATTTCAACACTTGAATGACTCAAACTAATTGATCCAGCATTATTCAGAGAAGAAAGCTAATTTCTTTAACAAAAGGAACGATAAGATAATTAATTAAAAAAAGTTGCAAATTAAAATAACTCAAAAATATTAGAACTAATATAATTAAAACAAATTTATATACTAAAAACAAAAACACTTAAGTCCAATTAATTTCAATTATGGTAGTAACAATTGTAGATAAAGAAGCAATGGAAATAGGACCAGCCACAGCCAGTTCTTCTAGTTTTGCACAGTAATAAATAAAGACACCCAACTACAAAGATAGCAATTATTATGATTATTTGATAATTAAAATTAAGTAAATAAGTGTAGTTGATTACAATGTGATTGCAGCAAAGATGAAGCTGTTTGATTAACTTTTAATTCATCTTGCGTGTCCACAAA